TATAGTTAATCCAGTTCAAATCGCAGCACACCTTTTAAATCCAAAAACACTTGGCAGTGATTTAACTATTGAAGAACATATTGATGTTTCTGAATTAATAACTTTGCTATGAACAGTTATGATTTAAATGATGATGAATGTCTTATCGAGTTAATAAATTATATTAACAGTATGTTTATTTTAAGTTTGTAACTCTCTACGCGCCACGTGATCTTATTCTCGCGCACCGTAGTCTATGGCCTTGAGACTAGACTGTCGTAACACATTCACCCCACCCTTCGTTACGCTCAACAATCATCTAGAACACTATTCCTGTATAATTTTATTTTTGGGTTTCGTACCCGTACAAAGCGTCCATATCAATATAATATATATATAAACATTTAAAGGTTCAAATTTTTTTGAGTTAATATACATGTATAATGTATAAGGAATTACAAATACTCGTAGCTAATTGGTTTTTTTTGGCTAATTGGTAAAAGACACATTGTTATGAGTTTATAAACACACTAAATGGCAATACAGAAATTATATTTATTAAAAATACACTGTCAAAGTATATGTGGCATTAATTTTTATAAAATATTAATTTCGAAAAGTTTAAAAACTAACCAAGTTTAACAAGAAATTGAATATTATATATATATAAATATTATTTGTTGATAGTTATTTAATGTGTGTACAGTTTTCCATAACATAAAAATAAAATATTTTTGAACTTAATATTAATATAGAATTTAAGTTTTTACTATTATTAAACGTCATGTGTAGTCAATAAGAAAATTCATTTTAAAATGCATACTTTTCTGATTTAGGGAACTTTCCTAGAAAAAATTCCGAGACATATCCATGATTTTACTTTCCCGGGAAAGTGCCCATTATTACTCATTATCTAGAATAGTAAGTCTCTACATGAACTTTAAGTATTTCGTCTGCTTGTTACACGGCTCAATAATGTTCGTTTTTTTAATTTGTTAAGACTGTCATTCGATTGATGGTAATACATTTATATATGTAATGGTACAGAGTTTAGATGTTGTAAATGTACTATTATTGTATGATTACTCGTATTATTATATAATATGCGGCAACATCGTGTGGGACTTTTGCATTCGCGTTATGTGGTGGCGGCGCTGGAAAAATGTTGTCATGCCTAACAAAGTGATAAGAAGATAAAATAATTGGTTGGTTATGTTTTAAAAAAGAAATGAAATACGTAATGATATCTATGTATTAAAAAATGAACACTTGTTTTTCGTTTTCTCTCTAAATAAAAACTAACAAGTAGCAATAAGATTTTTCATGATGAATTATATGGAAATATCAACAAACTATGTTTGAGAGAACAGCGAATAAATACGCACGAATATCAACTATATTTGAACTCCTACATCAATGAACACTGCATCACCAGTACAACTGAAATTAAGGGTAGAAATATAACTACCACTAATCGTACACATACTAAATAATAGTACATAGAAATATATGATAGTTTTTAAGACAGTATCAAGTTTAAAATACCAACTTTTAACGTCGCCATTAAAAATCAAAAATATGTTTACATCAAATGGTGGTAATAAAATTTTTTTTAAAAATTAGTGGAATAACTCTTAATGACTTTCCTCGTCAAACCGAAAATTTTAGGTCAACTAATAATTTTAACGTTATGTGTACACGTAAGCAACAATAATTGTATTAAAAGTTTTATTTGTCGGAATGTGCAACAAATATTGTATAATTTGTCAAAGGGCTTCTAGTTCGAACATTCTATATATACCAGATCACCAATGTTTTCTTAATTGAAAAAGCGTCAACATGCATGGAAGTAGATTGTATTCTGGAAGGATTTTCGAAATGCATGGTCTTGAATATAACTGTTTGATTGGTAATTAAAAAGTTATATACAATTACCTAATTATATTTATTGTATTACTACATAGATAGTAAAAAATGTTGCTTGACATGTGATGGAGATAGTAGTGCAACCAAGAAATTAGTAGAAAATCGACCATATGAAATAATTGAATTTAATATTAAAAAAATTGAATGTAAAACTCATTGTTAACCATTTTATTGATATCGGAATTTCCAAAATGTTATAAAGGTACTTTATTTAGAGTACTTAAATTTAATAATAACTGTTATGTTCTAGATCTATTTTTGATATGATAAATATTTTTTGAAAACACTAGACTAAAATTATAAAATACATTTTAATATTAAATGCTTATTTTGTCAAGATTGATAAACATTTTTTTCTTTTTAATAAATGATTTATTTATATGTGATCTACATTATATCTTCTTTCAATTATCAATTAATTTAACCAATAATAAAATAATACTACCAACTTTGATAACATAATATAACAACATGATTTTTTTTTTAATCACATCTGTGGCTATAGGTTTATTTGATATTTTTGATTGCCACTAAAATTATCTTTTCTTATTTTTAAAATCACTTCAAAAGTGCGTACTTGCGACATGACTTCTTAATCACATTGGCAAAGTACAGCTCACTTATTTTTATACTAGAAGTGCATATTAGCAACAAGATATATCTCAGTAATCATCTTAGTGAATACTCTTTAGTCATGTTAGTTTATTACTGCCCACTTTTTTATTACTTTGAATGTAAGTGACATTCAATTATTTGACAAGCAATTTGTATAATATGTATTATATAATATGTACTATCAAATATACCTTAAAGATAATCACCATATTATTACTATTATAATACTTTAACCAGTCAAATCAATCAACACATGAAAATAATAAGCAATATTAAAAAAATACAACATTTTAAGTGAATTTTCTTCATGTTAACTTAATTGATTATAAAAAACTTTTAAGATACATGTAGATTTCTTATTAAATATATATATATATATATATATCACATAGGTGAATTAATGTATGTATAAAATTAAAAAAGTGATAACCAACTTGACAAACATAAGCATTTTTACATTTTAAATAAATATAGTTATAAAAACTAAAAAAACACGCTTTAAAAGCACATCAAACAAAGAGTTAAAATTAATTTTTTAAATAAACTTAAAACTATAGTGAACGAAAAATACTAGTATTGTGATAAAAACGTCGGGCGCTTAATATACGAAAAATATGGCACAAAGCACCCACGATTTTATCACAATAATACTAGTATTTTTCGTTCATTATTGTTTTAAGCTTATTTTAAAAATTATTTTTAACTTTTTAGTTCAATGTGCTTTAAAAGCGTGTCTTTTTAAACTATATTTATTTTTCACTTTTTAGTTTCATGTTATTATAGAAGTTACTATCAATATCATGGTTGTAACGGGAAATCAGGGTTCGATTCAGGGGAGGGAGTCTGAGAAACGGCTACCACATCCAAGGAAAGCAGCAGGCGCTAAATTATCCACTCCCGGAACATGGTGGTAGTGACGAAAAATGACGATACGGGAATCATCCTTTGTAATCGGAATGAATACACTCTATATCTCTTAATGAGAATAAAGCGTGTTAATTTATATTTTTAATAGTAATTAGAATATATATATATATATATACATGTAAGGCAACATAAGTACGTAAACGTATCATGCACTAGGTATAGCTTTGTTTTGTGGGCGGGGGGAAACGTTATACCTAAGGTATGAATGGCGTCAGCGGCGGTAGGAATATATAAATATATATACGTAGGGCGCATTAGACGCGGGCGGTATTGGTCAGTCAAAATAAAAATTTGTTTTTATATATATAATTAATGACAGGCACGCGTGTACGGGTACGAAAACCAAAAATAAAATTATACAGGAAAATATTGTTATCAGTGAGTAGTGAGCGGGGTGGGGTGAATACGTTACGACGTCTAGTCTCAAGGCCATAGACGACGGGGTACGGGATTATAATAACACGTAGCTGGTGGAGACTGACAAACTAACACACAACATACAAGTGAAACTAATATAAGCGTGTTAAAAATGACATAAAATTACTTTGGAACTTTCGATTGACGGAACAAGAAAATGGCAATTAACTAACTAAATTCTGTACCACTGTGAATAAAACGAATTTTTTTTCTTTTAAGAGTTCGATTAAATGGAGATTTATATTTTTCAAATATTATTATTTCAATGATTAAAAAAAAGTCAACATTAAAAATGAGGCTTAGTGTAGCCTCAATAACTTAAAGAATTTAAAAATAAATGAATAACATATAAATAATACAGAAGGTGAGTATAATACAAGGTAGTATTACTTGTTCAAACAAAATAATTTCTTTCAAGTAAAAAATATTTTCAAGTAGTGAGTTGCCTTATGTACCAGAATAGACAATTTAATTAGACGGAAAGAACAATACGTTAAATAAAAGTATAAAAATAAATGCTCTATATGTTTAGGTAGATTTTGATTAGACAAAATGAGAGCTAATATTGTTTTAATGTAAAACGATAAAAAAATGCGATAGAAAAGAAATGGTAAAAATCTTTAAAAATATAAACCCAATTGTTGATTAAAAACGAAATCATTTCTAATAGCAATTATTATATATTCTATACTACAATTAAAATATATCTAAACATAAATTATCTAGCCCAAGTAATTAACATGAATTATAAATTCATATTTAGCACATACTATTAATTTCAGGAAAAAACAACTTGCAAATGTAGAAAACGCAATTCAAGTAAAATTAATTTCAATATTTTTTAAATTAAAAAATGAATACTTCATCACAATAGCAAGATTTTAAAAAACAAAGTTCAATTTAATCAGACAGTTAACAAAAAAATCAAACAAAAATAATCATATTAATAAGAACGTATAAAAAATTCATAAAAGCCACGAGAAAATTTAAATAGGAATTCCAATACCAAATACTTATAACCGACATTATAATCACATAATTAACATTTAAATAAACATATTACAATTTATATTTAATATTCAACATCACTATGACATTAACAATATCAATAACATATAAAATTTAAGTAAGCATACCTGAAAAAATACATCACGTCTTCATACATGTTAGAGTTTTGTACATCATAAACGTCCAATAGTAATTTTTTTGGCATTTAGAAAAATATACATTTAATTAAAAAAGAAATAGTTTATGAGTAATTAATTTGAACATATTAATTTCAATTGAATTTACCGAAAAATCTTCTAAGAAATACCAACGAAAAATAACGAGAATGCAATTTACCAATCACTAATATAGCTGAGTGCAACCAAAATCTGAAAACTACATGACTATACTTACAATCTATGGTAATAATATCGACTGACACTTTAATCAATATCCCTCCACTTATTTAATCACAGACTGCATCAAAATAACAAGAAAACCTTTTCATATAATCTGTGGCTAAATAAAATAAACCCAGTAATCAGGGCTATTTATAGAAATGTTTTCCCGAAGGCGATAATCAACATATAGGTTTGTAACAATTGACCTGTTTCCTTGTTTACTGAATACTATGTAATGTTTGTTACTATGTAGACATAATAATCATATTTCTACCAGTTTAATACAATTTTAGATTTGTGTGAAAATCTATTATACAGGGTGTTCAGTAAGTCAGGAAATGGGTTTCTATTGTTCTCATTGTTTGTAACAATGAGAACAATAGAAACCCATTTCCTGACTTACTGAACACCCTGTATAATAAAACCAGGAAAAAAACGCTTTTCTGGGAAAATTACTTGGCATGCTTGGATTTTGAAATTTTTTTTTTCAATGAAAGTACGTAGTCACGATACTCCAAGAAAATGATTGGCAAAGGTTGGAAATTTTTACCACTCGCCCACGAGCGTTTTAAAATTTTGACAGTTTTCAAAAAAAACGTTCACTGACGCCAGCCTTTTACGACTTAAGGTTTGAAATTTTAATCAGACCTGCTCAATGACATTTCTGACATTTACAAAAATTAATTCAATTCGATCATTTTTCACCGTTTTACAAGCTTTTTTTTTTAAAGTCCACGCTCATGGTTTTAATGAATTAAAGGGTAAGGATTCATTTCTACGCATATGTATATTGTGGCCCTGAATGTGTAGAAAATTTATTTTCATGACTATTAATTTTCTATACAATTTTTTTTTAATATATGTTTATTGTTGTCATATATGCATTGATTGGGTTAGTTTTTCTTTTTCTTTTATTTATTATGTTTTTTTTCTATATAATATGTTTATTTAATTAACCATACATATACTTTCTGTAGATTTCTTTTAAATATGTTTATAATACAAATTTTATAACCAGCTTACCGTTTAAATGTACTTGTTTTCGCTTTATAAATGTTTTTTTTTTATGTCACAACGCTGAGTTTATATTTGAGTGTGGACCGCCATGAGTAATGCCTAACGGCAGTTCCAGGACGGCCCACAGTAATGCCGACCGTGAATTAAAAAAAAAAATTTATATTAGGATACAATTTTGTATATATATTTAAATATACATTTTATTTTATATACTTCATCATGAATAATATGTGTAATATATACATTTCAGAACGGATATATAAGTAGAATCTATTTATAATTCAAACATCGCCATTTAGTTAGTTAAAATATTCAAACATAAATTCGTACCTAATTAATTATATAACTTATTACGAATTAACATTTCTCCTTCATTTTCAAAACACCAATACTTTCCATAACTCATTTAAAATAAAGAAATAATTCTTAGTTTTGTAGTATCAATATTATAATTCAAAAATTAAAATGTAATATAACAATTCATGCTTTTAGGTATTTTAACGAGACACTAAAAATATTTTGATAGATTCCTAGAATAGGAATTAATTACTAAGTTTAATAAAAAGTTAATTTCATAATTGATTATTAACAATTTAAAGTAATGACTGGAGGATACAAGTGAGTGCTGATATTATTTATAACTAGTCATTTCTCGGTCGTTTTTTCCTCTTACCTAGGTGTATAAATATATCAAGAACTCCCGAAAAATAGTTATCGACCAGTCATTTTCTTAATTAGATCATTGTCTAATAAATAAGCAAGCAATTTATATTTGTAGCCATTTGAAAAAATCCAACTCCATTTTTCAAATAAATTATAAGTTGTTCTTTTTTTGTATTGTAGTTCTTTATATAAAAAATTAACTCAAATTCTTTTGTACTAAACAATAATTCTAAATAGTAATAAACTATTATAATAATTTAATAGTACAACTAAATGTATAAATGTATAAATGAACAAATATAAAATTCACTAATTTATGTTTTACAACCGTCCAATTTTGCACAATTATACAATTATAATATTAATAGTTAAATAATTTACATTCCATAATAAAAATACAAACAATAATTAAAATTGATAAATAAACCAAGAAAAATAAAGATAAGATTCAATTATTTAGCTGAAATTTCAGCAAAGTCAATTATATGAATTTTGATATTAAAAAAAAAAACTGTATATCACAGAACGTTTTAAGTAAAAATAAAAAATTTTTGCAATAATGTTTCAATATAAGGATATAAATTTCAAACTAACAATATTATTTATTTTCACAAATATTTTTTGCTTTTGTTCAAGTTATTATTTTTGTCGAGTGACATTTAATACTCTATCTCGACTATGCTCCCTAGTTGGAGGAGAATGTCGAGACTTTCTACTTCGCTTAATCTTAGCCATGCTATCTTCTCCGAAAACATCTCCAGTTCTTAGAGCTGAAATTAGATCATCAAATTCTGCTTTTTCTCCAGAAGTTCCATTAATGGAAACTTGAGTACCTGCTCGTCGACTTGTAGAACTGTTTGGTATTACTCCATTACCCTCTTTACAGTGTTTACGATCTAATGTCAACTTTTTCAACTATTAGAAAAATATTTTAATTAAAAATCAAGTTACATTACTAAAACAGTGACATTGTTGCTATTATTAAAAACTATGTTATAATAATATTGAAAAAAAGTTATTTATTAAAAAAATACATTTACAAAAAAAAAAAAACAATAATTTTTTGAAACATTTATTCGATATTATTAAACAAAAAATTACAATTGGTCTCATAATATGTTAATAAAAAATTGTTTGTACCTCTCCTTCCTGACGAGCTCTTTTTTCTTCTTCTTCGCGTCTCTTTTTAATGTTAATATTATCATGACGAGATTCAACCAAAGCAGTTAAAAATGAGTCAAAAATAGCAAAAAAATCATCTGGTTGTATTGTTGAGTTGTCTTCACCAAACAATCTAACAGCCCTGTCAAACTGATTAACTCAAAGATTAGAATTCAATTGAAAATTTATCACCTTTATTCTGATTTAAACTCACTCTTGTTTTCATATCTTGAAATAAATCTTCAAGCTCAGAAAATCTACAAGTAGCAGTGGTTAAAAATTCTTTCATGACTGGTAAGAAATTGTCACCAGGCACTGCTGGTTGAACTCTCTGAAATTCTATTTCACGTTCAACTTCCTTTAAATTATTTCTCAATTGTGACATGTCTTTTTCAAGTTCTGCCAAGCTAACTTTTGAAGCCTCACGAACATGAGGTATATCTTCTTCCAGAAGTAAAACATCTTTAAACTGTAAATTACAAAGTTTAGAGCATATATAGAAATAGAAACTGTGTAAATAGTTAAAACCTTTTTGTCAGCCATATCCACAATAAAGTGTAATAGAGTGGTGCCACGTACAGAACTTGATTTTGTATCAGATAATCTATTAAGTGATGATAATCGGAAGCCCCATGCATTTCCCCTTGCTCCTTTATTCATATAATTTCCAAGTGCCAATACTAATTCTAATAACTTTCGAAGACGTCTAGATCGAGCAACTTCTCTTGATGCTTCCATCACAACTTTTGCTCTACCTTCAACTTCTCCAGTCCAAGTCACAAATTTTTTTTTGTAAACTAAACTCCTAAGTCGCTGTTCATAATGTGCTATCCTAAAAAATACATAAATAAAAATGAGAATGTGATCTAAGTAGAAATAAAAGAATTACATACTTTGATATTTCATATAAGAAACGATCAGCTCTAGCTAGACTGTCCAAATCATAGCTATGTTCTTCCAGTAATGCAGCTTCATCTGGTCCAGGTGTAAATTTTAGAAGTTGCTCAACCATATCTAATGGAAAAATATCTTTAGTATCCATGTCCAGTATAACCCTAGCTATTTCTTCATCAGACATTTTTAATTTTGACAGTAAAATAGTGCAATTTTGAGCTCTTCGCCCATCAATTACAGACAAAATTTTAGCTTTGTTTTTAATTGGTTGTTTCGTGTCTTCAGACAATTCTTCATTCTGCAAAAAAATAGATCATAAATTTTTATTTTATATGAAATTTAAAATGCTTTATCGACTTACAACTGTCCCATTAATCTTTTGATTTTGGTATGCACAAAACAGTTTATCAACAGTCTCAAGATCAATAGATGAATACATTTTTCCTTCATCAATATCAGCCCATACGGTTCCTGCTATTTTAGTTTCTGGTAATTTAGACCAATTAAATGATTTTAATGGTGCAGTTGGCTTAGGAATTTCTACAGATCTTTGTCTGCTGACTAGAGGAGGTAAACAACCAGGTGGTGGTGGAAGATTAGGTGTAGGAAACTGTAAAGGAGGGGCTGGTGGAGGTACTGGAGGAGGAACTGGAACACGGACTTTGAGCAACGATGGAGGTGAAGGTGGTGGAATAGGTACAGACAAAGAAGAAGAACCTAAGTTAACTTTGGCATCGTCAGGTAAACTTCCATTATTCAATAATGTTTCTAATTTTCTTCTTTCTTCTTGTTCATACATTATACGATGTTGCAGTTCACTAGTTGTATCTTCTAATTCTGATAATTTCTGTTTAGTTTCTAAATGAGTGGAAAGCTCTTTTTCTAAACGTTCTTTGAGCCTAGCAATACTAGCTTCCATATCTTCCTATCATGATCAAAATAATAATTGTTTCTTAGTATGAAACACTAACTGTAAATTAAATTATAAAACAAGAATGTTAACATACTTTTTCTTGATTTCTCAAATCTAGTTCTTGTTCTTTCTTGGCTAATATAGCAACAATGTTATTGTTTTCTTTTTCCAATTCTTCTGCTTTGTTTTTAGCAGCAGCAAGTTCCTCTTCCTTTGCTAGCCTGTTTTCAATAATTATAAAAGTTATTTTACAATTATTATTAACACATTTATTAATAATAATAATTTATCTTAAGTAAAAAATATTTATTAAAACATACTGTTGAACTATTTCTTTCACATTTATATTGATGGGTGATACATCGTTATCAATACCAGAGTCAGTTTGTAGAGTGATTTGTTGCACAATTCGATCAAATAAAAGCCAATGTTGAGGTAAACTTCCATAATCCACTAAAAACAATATTTTTTTTGTTTAAAATAAATTTGTGAGAGTATATTTTTTAATTAACAAAAAATCTTACATGGCAATAGTAAGAAATGTTGTAAAAGTGATAGAAAATGAGAATATGCAGGAGAATGACTCAATTTTCTACGAATTAAATCAAACATTGATGTTGCACTTTGTGTATCAACTTGTTCCTAATTATATATAATAATTACTTAGTTGTTTACTAATTAAATATCATATAAATATTTTTTGTTTAAATACCTGCTCAAATTTTCTAGCTAACTCTTTTTCATCTTCATTTCGAACCATTTCAAAGAAATCCATATGTCGATCTAATGTTTGATTTTCGAGTTCTCTTAGTTTATTTATAATATTCTTTAGTCCAAGTTGTAGGAATTCATACCTCAAATGTAATCTAAATTCTAAGCTTTCTTGTCCAGGACCATAACTTAAAACAGCATTAATAAATGACATAATAGCAGTTTTTACTGTTAAATCATCTCTATAAATGCCAGTATTTCTATCTAAATCGTTAATTACTCCTTGAAATCGAGCACGTTCATGTGCATAATCTCTGTAATCAGTCATAGCATCCAATACTTTTTTATGACCTCCAGGAACTAAACAAGATGCACCAAGAATTTCTAGAACGGCTACCTTAGTGCGAGGATTTTCAGTTATTAAACTTCTAGCAATAGTACTTATAGCACTAGGATGAGCAAGAACATGAGATCTTCCCGTCTATAAATATATTAGGAGTTGTATTGTTTATATAAATGAAGCTACATAAATAATTTAGTGTATTACACATTATTTGACACATTTTTCAAAAATTCATTAGCAATATGAAAATTGTGCAAAAAAATTTATTTTTATAAGTTGTATATCATTTAAAGAATATCTCAGATCTGATTGACAACTCTAATACTTTTTGATCAAATTATTTCTTTGTCAGTTAATTTTTTTAACAATTATTACCTTCTTAGTTTATATTAAAATGGTATTTTTCATTATTTAACTTTAATAAAAAATAAATAAATAAAAATACTTTTAAATTTTTTTAATTTCAAAATATTAATTTTTTAGTCCTTTTTTATGAACAATTTTGATAAATTCATAACAGTTATAGAACAAGTACTCAGGCCAAGTTAAAAGCATATTTATACAAAAAAGTTAGTATGTAGCACGAGTATGTGCAGGCTATACTGGTGTACATATATTATGCCAACGATTCAGAACCATTTTAAGTAATAAATTGATTTTAACTCAATAAATAATTATCCTAAAACTATTACTGACCCGTTAAAATTGTTAATAAGAAATAGACTAAAAAATTACTATTTTGAAATTTTTAAATTTAAAAAAATTGTATCTTTATTTTTTCTTACATAGATAAATAATAAAAATATACTTCTAATGTAGTCTAAGAAGGCAATAATTATTAAAATAAAAAATTTCAATAAAATAATAATCTGATCAAGTTATTAGTGTTGTAAATTAGATCTAAAACACTCTGTATGTTGGTGTCTTAATGAAATGAAAAAAATTAAGATTAATACAAAGAATATAAATCTATTAAACAGGCTTTTGAACTAAAAATTTGAGACCAATAAGTCTAAAACTCTTTATTAAAAATGGACCAGAAGTCGTCATTTTTGATTTTTTATTATTTACTTGACACATTATACATATTAAATTGAATATAAAATTATAATTGATTATTTTAGATCTTTGTGTTAGAGTTTGATGAAACTAAAAAAGGGTTTTTTATTGAATATTAGTACACATAATCTCCACATTAACAAGTTTTAAAATTTAAAAATTTGCTTATCTTCCATTAGTACTAATAATGGGAGAACAGTCATTTTCTTTTTTACAGTTTTATATGATTTCATTTTATAGGGATTTTGACACTGATTTTGAATTTAGACTTATTAAGACCGTATCTAGTTTTTGAGATAATTATTATAAAGTAATTGCATAATAATAACATGGTTAATCATCATAAGCAAAGCAGACACAATTATGTGTATTTTTTAATTTTATTTGTACCACTTTGAAGGCCCGATGTTTCTGTAACTTTGTCTTAAGATTATATAGTAATGCAAAAATATTTTTCATTTTAGGGCAAAATTAACATACATAATTGCTTCCAAGATATAACATCAAAAAATATAAAAATAACATTACTAAGTTGAATACATATAAATGCATATAGTTCATAATCCTGGTCATAAAAAAATAAAACATGTTTTTTAAATTTTCCTAAGTTGATATTTAAAAAGAGTTGTACAAAATTTGAAAATGTGTCCAACAAGTTTAACTATTTTTTGTATCTTTTTAGTTGAATTCATTTTTTTTTTTCTTAAGTTAAACTTATGTAAGGAAAAGGCTTTGCCTGACTATTAAGTATTAACATCCAGAAATTTATTGTGCTTTTTTTATTGTAAAAAGAGGAAATTAATTTATGAATGTATAAAAAAATGTATGCCTCTATAATAATTTTGTACAAAAAAACTCATTTTTATTTTCAATAACATATTATTAGTTGTCACCTAATTTAAGGGGAAGGGTGAACGCATGCTCCTTGAGCCACCTCTTTTATATCATTATTTCAATTACTCCAAAATAAAGCAATACTTAAAAACAAAAATAGTATTTGTAGCAAATTTTTGAGTTTTTTCTGTATTGCCGTTAATACAAAAACGATAATTTTTTAATGGTGTATTTATAAAATATACAAAGTTAATATTTTTTAAATACTTATAAAATTATCTATTAGTAGCTTAAAGTTTTATAATTATAAGTTAAACCAAAATATAGTAGAAAGTTTAGCTTTTTTTTTTTTGTAAATGACACTTAAACTAACTTAAAAAATACAAAAATTTCGTTAAACATGATAGAACAGTCTAAAATTTTATACAAACTCTTATTAACCATCATAAAATCAATTTAAAAAAGTTAAACAAAATTATTTTTATAATTTTTTGTGACGATTTCCTGTGTATTTATTGTTTAATTACTCTATAAATATCTCAAAAACTACATATGATATATAAAATCTTAAGTAAGATTCAGAATTAGTGTCCAAATTTCCAAATATAATTCATATAAAAATTGTAAACAATAAAAATTTGTTTATTTAGTCCTGTATAATTTTCATATTTAGTTACTGATAATTTAAATGCTAATAAAAATAACTTATATACATATTCATAAAATAAATAAAATTATAATTACTGAATTATTCATCAGAGCTTTAATACATCCAATAATTGATGTGTGCATTGAACCTTGTTGAGTGTCATAATCCATAGAAGATAAAACTTCTAATAGAGTAACTAGACCATCAGCTTGAACAAATCTTAGCACAAAACTGTGGGGTTGAGTTCTAAGAGCTGTCTTTAATGAATCAAATAAACTCATGTTTTCATTTATATCTTTATCTCCAGATAATGTCCCTATACTTTGAATATAGTGATCTGGAGACTGAGATAAATCTGTTGTACTTTCTTGGTCCTAAAATATTATTATTTTTATTATATTATAAGTTGTGTTTCATTTAAAGTAGATGCTTACTTTTTTTTTACTACAATAAATTTGCCATTTCTTTTCAGCTGGAAGTTCAAGCATTGCAGTTTTGTTGGGAGCAGTAAGATCTAGTTCTTCCTAAAAATATAAAGTGATTACATTTTTATTTATTAAAACCCATTTTAAAACGAATGAATACTTTTTGAAAGTATTTTCTTCACGTAATAATACGAGCTGAGTATGATGGCTCGCATTACTAATCGGGGACGTTTGTATGTTATATAAATGGAAAATGATGATTGTATAATAATGCCCTAAACAATTATCTATGCACGTATATCTCAAGATCAAATTTAACCATGACACTTACAACTAACTCGGCAAATAGCTTATCCAGTTCGGACTTTTCTGGCATAGGAAGTGTGGGAGTCATCGTCTGAAGTGATAATGTACCAGAGTTATCTACAACACAATATGTGATTTCTGGAGGTTCATCATCCTGAAACAATAATCGTTAAAAATTATTCCATTGATCTCTATTACTTATTAAACAAATATCGACATTGATTAAAATACAAAACTTTTATTTTTATTCAAAATATCAATTTCTTAATAGGTGGGATTAATACTTAAAAATTAACAATATTAAAATATAATTAAGATCAAATGCGTATACCTATAATTACCAACTAATTATATTTAAAATGAAAAAACTTGTGAAATATTCAGTATTTTACGTTAAAAATAAATACAACTGAAAAAACTTAAAAATAATATTTGACCTTGAATAAAACCACGATGGCTTCCATCATGATGTGTTATTATCCAATTTAATTTATATTGATATTAAGTGACACGTACGTGACATTTTTTTAATAAAAAAATTAACTTTTCAATGTGATAAGATATTTCTACTTTCTAATTTTATCTTCGATTTTAAGTAATACAAGAATAGTTACTTATTCTTTCACGGATAATAGTATCTAAATAATACCAGTTATATAACTCAAATAAAATATAATATCTATATTGTATTGTTAGCAAATGCCAGTGGCGATTTAGAAGAGACAACAACATTCCCAATTTACAATTATAAAAGGGTCACAGCAATCTTATAATTTTGAAAAAATTAAGTATTCATGAATAAATGATTGTAAAATACGTTTTTTGAATCTTAAAAATAAAAAGAGTATTGAAAGTTAAATGGTATTATACTGATCAAAGGAAACAAAAACATTTTTAAAAGCATAATTAAATTTTTTTTAATGTAAATTTTAAAATAAATCTATAAGATTTAAAAAACATATAAATCATTACTTTAATAAAATTATACCGTGACTCATAGACACATCGTCTATAATTAATAGAGTGAAAGCACACGATAAGTTGACTATTTTCGATGGAAGAAATTATACTAACGATTTTACACGTTTATAGCCCTTGGCTATTAATTATAAAAATAAAAATAAGAGAACAAACTTGACTTAGGTTTAAAAAAAAAAAAAAAAAAAAAAATGAAAAAGTCCACTTTCCGTATTACAATAATTTCTAGCACTTGCCTATAATATCATGAAGATTAATTATTTGAGAAGTGATAAGTTAGTTAAAGAAACTCGTCAAAAACGTAATAAGTATGCACAGTGCAATACAGTATTACACTTAGGTTTCGCAATGAGGTCGAAATTATCTTCTTCAAGCTCAATAATACAAATTATAACCGAAAAGTTAATATTTAGAAACTTAATTTGTAATTTAAATATACATTATATGATTTTTATTAAAACTGAAAAAAATTAAAAAATGGCAATATAATTGTAGTCAATTTATTATATCAGTGGGCCACAAAAATTAGTAATATTCTCTAAAATACAGTGGAGAGCAAATGATTTTGCCATGAATGGGAATGAAAACCTTTTTGATACATATCATTATGGGAGCTGTGCCTCCATACTCCAGAGCCTTTTGTATTATAATATCAAAATATTAAGGATTATTAGATATGCATAAATGTCTTTCTTCTTATTAAGCCTATTTCAAATTTAATTTATTTTAGAATTATACATTGTTGAATTTACCTACGTATAAATAATAACTAAGACTAGAAATTTAATGTTCCAAATTTGTAGGATTTATCATTTTTTCATATTAATTATGCTCGATAAGTTTCCAAATTATAAAATATATAATGAAAAATGGTATGCCAATGGAGGTGATATATCCCACTAATTTGACCCAAAATGCCAAAATATGAAAATCAATTACAAATATATATATATATATCATTTTCATCAATATTAATATATATATATTAATATTGATGAAAATGTTTGAGTATAAAATGTGCTTATTAGAAAGTTTGCACGCCCTAAAAAAAGTGAAATGATACCACTGGATTCATAGCGTCAAAAATTAAAAATTTTAAATATTTTTTTAAAAGCAAAATAAAAGTTGTTGGATATAATTAAATGTTTTATTTAACTCTTGTTAACATTGATTTTTTAACGCTTACTTGTTCATTAATTTTCAAACAGAAACATGTCAAAAATCGTCGTGACATGCCAGTAAAAGTGGTTTCTTAATTGAGAATTAATTATGCATACTATTATTTGACACTTAATGATAACAAAAAAAAATTTTTTTTTGACAATACAAACTTGTGTATGTTTAATAGTATCAAAATAATATATAAAACATATGAATATTTGTTTATGGATTCTGTCGTCATACCAATAAAAATTGTTCACACCTAAAAAGTGCACTTATCTCAAATTATTATAAGAGTCTAAAAATAATTTATAAAAGGATAATCTTGCCTTGATTCCATTATGATCCTTAAATTTACATATAATGTCAACATAAAATACCTATTTATGGTTACACTTTTTTCTTTTCAATAAAAAAGTGTAACTACCAGTGATAATAAATAAATAGTACAATCGTTAATTAGCCAATCAAAATTTCTTGTACATAATAAATTAATAGATCTAGAAAACATGAATGCGCTTTGCTTATGAAATTACAGCGACAGTCACCTGCCTGGTATTAACTGCGAGGACACCTATAATGACATAAATAATTGCTACGACATAAATAATTTTATTTCCCTGTGGTTTCACTAATCTTAACCTTTGTAGAAAAAAAATTAACATTAAATTGCCCTTGATGATAATATAACCAAGAAGGAAATCAAATTATATCCAATGATAAGTTTTAATAATTATAAATTATTATTGTTAATTATTCTATGGATAACATTAAATAAATTTTTAGGATTTAAAATTAAACAACAAACGTATCAACCAAAATTGGGATTTTTCAATTATTAATATATTTTAACTAATATATAAAATATTTTTTATCGTGATAATGGTGTATGATTAATATTATTGGAAAACATATTTTTTTAATAAAAAATACATTTTTCCATTAGCTTAAATGGAAAATGAAATTTAATTGTGCTCTCTTAAAATATATGAAATTGGTTGATATGCTTCTTGAATCCTAAATTCTCAAATTATGAACAATAATTGAACATACCTGTAGACAACCACACCATCCTTTTCGCCCTCGTGTGCTAGGCGTTGGCATAATACCTGATAACCTTTCAGCTAAACCCGCCATGGTGCGGGGTACAGTCTGAAATATAAAAAATATAATTCATTATATCGGCATAAAAACACAATACTAAATTTTACGTCTAAATGGATTAATATCTATACGTTATTCATTTCTATCATTAAACAATGATTTTCACAAAAAAAGTATTACTAGATAAAATAAAATGTATTTTTAGACACCATAGTGAATAGTAGATTTGAGACAAAAAAATATATATTTAGAAATGATTACGAGGGTTAACTTTTGAAAGTTGCATGGAACTATTAGTGTATTTTTACTCTAATCCGATGGAGTCTAAATTAAAATTTAAGTAGATGACTAGTAGTATAGTATCAGACATTGTTTTATGTTTATTGAATAATAATATTACTAAGTTGTACATTTTTATTATCAAAACAGTAAAAATTGCCTAATTTATATAATCACAATGGGGATTTTATTGTATCTAAAAATAGCATTCTAAAATTGTTTTTTTTCATTATTATGGTTTATGTTCAAAAATAAAATATAACAAATAGATCACTAGTGTTAAGTAAAAAAAAGATTAAACATTCATAATTGAACAATGTAAGTGGGAGTGTCAGAATAAATAAATGTAAACAGAGTTAAACACAGTATTAAGTACTTTTTCTTAAAAATTTCATAGGCTTTTTAATAAGAAATATTTGCAATAGCTATCTGTTAACAGATTTTTAATTGTTAATCATGACACAGCTGAATGATTAAATGGTCATGTCAGCTATTCAAGAAAAATGGTTTAATAGCAATATATGTGTACACATAAATTAAGCAAAATTTTACAATAATAAGACATATTTTAGGTCTATTGGTAAAAATAAAATTATTAAGATTGAATCGAACATTCCATTTCTACATTTTCTGATGCCCGATCAAAATCATACTTTTATTAACATCTAAGACGACAGTAAACATTTTTTTACAATCTTGAACGGAATAATTTAATTATAGCTTGTAATTGATGTTAAACAATTGTTTTATTGTTACATTTCCTTTCGGATAACTTTACTGTTGTAATAACAAACGGAAATAAAATCACATAGTTCAATAAATGTCATCTAAAATCACTATTAATCTTTTCCGAACTACCTCACGCTGGTTTTCACTTTCAAAGAGTGTATCAACCTTGTCACAATTCTAGGCATCTATTATCGTTAACAAAATAGTTTACCGTGTATACGTGATATGATCGTTTACGGATTTTCAAGTAACCTTGCACGAAAGAACTACTTTTTTTTTACCCTGACGTCCTCACGCAGTGGTTTTAATGCAACAAAAACTAATGGATTAGTATATATATATATATATATATATTACTCTATAATCGTTAATTTCACATTAATTGTTATGGTTTTTTTAAACTTCGTTTAAAATTATATTTTAATTGATTAAAATACGTCTCCACAGGTTATCTAGTTCTAAATGGACAGTTGTATGTGGTTTACGCATGTCTTCTAAGAATGCCCTAAGAATGAAAGGTCTAGACCAGCACATTTAGTTGTAAGTCAACGGGTCAAATAATTTGCTTATGCAAAAATAATAAGATTTTATAATGGAAGTAATAAGGAATGTGAAAGCTTCATATCACAGTAGGAAGCAAATGGATCCAGTAATTTATTAAATTGCACACTTGTATACAAAAATTATTTGAGTACATACGTTATGGCTGAAATTTGCATAAAATTATAGCACATAAAAAATTAGGGGACATATTATAATAACTTAATAATATTAAATAAAAAAACTTTTAATAGAATTTAATTGTTCTTGTGATTTCAATCTATCAAAACAATTTTTTTTAGAAATAGTCAACTTTAAAGATTGACACATTTTTTGTCAATATAATGTCATGTTTCTAGTATGTCATGATGAATGCATTTTTGATTAGCTTAATTAAAAAAAAAATAATTCGTAATGTACGTAATATTTTAAGCGGTTGAAAAATTCCATTATAAATAATGGAATATTCTTAAAATATAATATTAGATAGTGTATTTTTTTGAAAAAAACAATAAAGTCTCTTAACAGACATTTTGTTAAGTTTAATTAAGGACAAGAATTCGATGCAATTATTAATTTGATTAAATAGTCTTGAATACACGAATTAAAAAAAAAATACTTTATCATTCAGTAAATTTAAATGTAGGTGGATAGGATATTAAAGAAGAATAGTTTTTGTTTTAATCTCGCCTACAGGAGACAAGCCAATAATATTTTATCGTAAGGAAAACCATACTAATTGTTTTTCCTCGTTGTTTTTACAGAGCTATTCCGAGTTGGGATTACAAGAGTATACGCGCGTTTACTCTTTTAACGTTACGCATTTTTTATATTACTGATCCACTGATCTCATACATTAATCTATCGACATGTGGGTGGGTGTATATCGAACAAGACGTTTTTAAAAGTCCGTCAACAAAGTAAGTATAATAGGTAAGAAGAGTTCTCGATCGTCACGTTAATTTTCTCTTGTGAACGAATTTGTTAATTTTATCCGTTTGACCTTTCGTTAATCTGATGATGTCTATTATATATGTTAGAGTAAACTCTTAAAAAAATAGAAGCACGTAGTCGAATAGAGAAAGAATAAAATATTAATAAATGGGCTAACACGAATTAAACACAAAAATAATAGTTATATGCTGTTATGAAATAAATATTAATTCTTTTATAAGTAATTTACATGCTCGATAATATTACAATCTAGGCGCTTGATTATTAAGTATTTGAAAATGTACACATCTAACGCCAATAAAAATAATCTTAGAAGTTGATTTAAAAAACAATTTAGTGCAATTAAAACTATAAAAAAATTATTTATTTCCACAGTACATTTTTAATAAGAACTTTGTTTACAAGTTGACACGTTTATTACCATTTAAAGTATTTCAAGTGTACAATATTACTATAATACTGTGGTTAAGTAGATTAACAGAGCTAAAGACGTTGCCAAGTGTCCACAATGTTGACCTCGGACGTCTGCATTCAACAGACTTTTATAGCAAAAGTTTACCTATTTCCTGTATATTAATCATATTCAATACAATCTAAAGTCTACAACAGTATATAAATTAGATCATTGATCCTTGAACCATTTAAATGAAAAGTTTACAATTTATGTAGAACGTTTTAAAAACTACAAAAAGCATAACTGAATCGTGTAGTGATGTTCAGTAATTTAGTAATCACGTCTCCAGATAAAGAAGAAACCATCTGTTAAATAGACTAAACGAGGCGGTAAGTGGCTCAATCCATTTAAATTATTTAAGACTGAAACCGTGGTAATTTATAATTTTCATGCCGCGTTAAAAGGCCGTCAAGTCAAATAATGAAAGATATTGATCAATATCAACGTTTTTCTTTAGGTGGTCAGAATATTATTAGAGTTCCCTCGTTCATGATAAAATATTTTGAGTCGTTCAACGTTTAGAACTAATGATGTAGAAATAATAAAAATGTAATGCTTGCTTAGGCAAGACCACGTGGGGGGGGGGCAAGTGTTACCCCTTACCTCCAGCAGTAAATTTATGGCTTATTTTAGAGCGGAAAATTGCATTTTTTATTATGTTTTACTCGTACCCGAAAAAATATATAACATGGTTGCGATTCTACTAATTTTCACCTTTTTTTTAATCTAATTTTTGTACATCATTTAGTTGTAGTATTCATAAGGCTTATTTTTAATTAGTTTGACAATAATATATTATAATGAACCATATTAAAATTGTAATTATATCATTCATTAAGCACTATCACACTCACGTGATCATTGATATGTACTCATTAGTTTACAAATTGTAAAATTATAAACATACAAATTATTGTGAAATTTAGATTCGTATCGTTTTATGGTAGTTATGTTAAATACTGTCAGATATCATCAACATATCTACATATCGTACATATGTTCCAACTATGCCGTTTGTCCACTGATGGGTATTTTTATATTATTTATTTAATAGGTCATTTTTAGCTACCCATTAAAAAAATTGATTGGAGACTAGTAGTTTTGATCAATTAGTTATAAAATAGAAAATTAATGTATAATAATAATACTTTTATCTTTTTTTGTATTAATTTTAGGCTAATCAAAGATGTACCCAATTAGTTTTAATATTTTCTCAACGCGTCTAACGATACATAACACACCCACATAGACTTGTAAAGTGTTCCGGGTCATTGGTGAAAACAATACGAAATTTATGATTATGAAAACAGAACCTTTCCATGTCAATGTCCAGTCTGGAATACAAAATGCAATTTTAGTATTCGACAAATCTCATCAAAGCAAGCAGGAATAATATAAATTATAACTCCGTTTTGTTTTTGTGACACTTGACTGATTAGCATGTAATTTGTACCTAAAAATACAATTGATAATACTTTCACAGATTTAACTTCATACTATTAATGTACCGTTTCGTGAATTTGTGAACTTCCTTCAACTTGTAGATATTTTGAGAATACAGCAATTAACATTTACAAAATAGAGTCCCCAGTACCTTATATTTAATCATTGGGTTAACGGTATGAGTAAACAATATAACAGAATTAAATTTCAGTATTTTGTCATTTTTAAGACAAATTAACAGCTAAACAACGTTTGGAAAATTCTACTTGATGATTTGTGTATGCATAAATACTTTGTTATAGTAGTTAAATTAATATTAAAAATTTCATTTCATTCGAATCTTTTAACACAACATAAACGTTTAAAATGTTTTGGGATAACCGAGAAATAAAAATTGTTTTAATATGTATCACAATAGTTAGATCTTAAGTTAAATAACAAGTCAATCGGTTTTAAACAACTCCCAAAAAATAATATCAGTGATAAATTTTGCCGATTAATTTTATTGGCGTACAAAAATATATTTGCTGCGCTATTATAAAGTAATAACCAAACATGAATAGCGGCTCCATTATGTTATTATTTTCAGTTTAAGCTCAATTAAAAAATAGGTTGATTCAAACAAAATATCGAAAGTAGTTGTTAAGCCTATTTATTAATTTACGATTATGTTCATCGTAACATAGTTTATGTAATTTTTTTTTTTGAATATCTAGTATTGCAAAATGTCATTAAATCAAACAACATTCAGAATACATTGTCATGCTTATCGTCACTAGTGTTTTTCCTGGTGCATTTTAAACGAGTTTTAAAAATAATGTTGTACTACTATATTGGAATTGGATTCTAAACATAAGTCGCCGATAACCAAAACACGATAATTATTACACAAAATAACTGCCGTATCTTGTACAAGTTTTCTTTTTCAAAATTCCTTTCTAATACATAACATATTTTTTTTTTTATATTCTGAATTAATTTTTTTCTTAAATTATTTTTGTCATTTTGGACTACATTATAAGGATATTTTTTATCATTCGTCGTCTCTAATAATAAAAGAAAAATTATTTTTTAGTTTTTTTGTTACAAAATATTTTGATAGGTCGATAACAACTTTAAGATAAGTACTTATTGAGTTAAAAGCGTTTAAATATATAGAATGGGTATGAAAAATGGACAGAGTATACGTACACAAGTATGAGCTGTGCCCGTTCTACATTCCCACTCAATGTATATAAATATTATTTGATAAGTACTTATCATAAAATTGCTATCGATCCACCGAAATGTGTTTGTAGAAAAATGCTAAAAAATGGCTTTTTTGAAATTTGAAAAACTATAAAATGAAAAATTGTTTTTTCTTATTAGAGACAAATAATAACAAATTTGTTTTTAACGTAATCCAAAACTATCGAAAGTATAGAAAAAACCCGAAATATTCACTGGATAAAAAGTTATGAAAGATGACAAAACCTAAAGAAATACTCTGTATAAAGTAAGTTTTATAAAAATATATAATAAAAAGAATAAAAATATAAAACAAGTATCAATAGTAGTATAGTAGTAAGTAGCATGTATGCCGATGCGAAAATAACACGAATCCAACCATAATTTTAGTAAATGAGATATAATTGGAAATACAGAATTAAATTTGTAAGGTGAAATATAAATCATTATGTTATATTATACTCTTCAAATCTTAGTGTTGTAAAATAATAATGATATGGTAATTTATTTAGCGTCAAGTCAAAAGTGTAGTAGAATGAAATCTATATATTTTAAATATTTAAAAAAAGTATATTGAATGTTTTTGTTGTCTTTAAAAAATATGAGATGTATCGTCAAATCAAATGTGTACTTTATAATAGAAAATATTTCTAAAAATATTTTTTAGTTTCTTAATACATTTGTTATGTCGAACTCCCTATTGAATTTTTATCGATCTATATGTGTTAAACTATGTTTTGGCGACCCTTAAATCAGTTCACGACTCTACCCTCGTTGAATAACATTGCTTTATATGACAGTTATTTTTAAAAATGACGAATAAAATAATGAATCCAACTTTCATTTTATATTGTAAGCAATTTAAATATAAAATTTCATGTACATTACAATGAAAATATAAGATGGAATGAATTATTTTTCATAGACGATCTCAATAATATTAAATAAATGTATAATATTAATATTAATATTATTATTATTATTATTATTATGCAATTCTTTTAGGTCTCATAATATGACTATACCATGGTAAGTTATTTATGAATAAATCACATTATGTGATCAAAACAGGCTAAGATAGTAATTAAATATTTCATGTAATTCAACACATATAATTAAATATATTTAAGTCATTATATATTCATAAAAAATTATTTTTAATTATAATGAAATAAGAAGAGAAAATGGGAAATGTGTAGGAGTATGGTTCCCAGAGATGAAAATTGTATTAAATTAAACTATGTGATTCGTCTCATTATATGTATACCCAAAGAAAATAAATAGATTGATGTATAAGAATATTTATAATTCATTCGTTTTCAACTGGTAATTGTACACATTTTTATGGCTGTGGAGTTTTGTGAATAATATGTACACAATCCTTGTAAAGAATTAATTCTTACCAGGTTTACCAGCTTCATTTTGTTTTCAGTCAAATATTGGAGTGCATAAACAATATTAGATAAATACACAATTCGACTTAAAAATACCGCACTTAAAAAACCAATTCATGATAAAATGTTTCGAAAAATTATTGATGTATTGCACTAATGTACAATGAACGCATAATGCTGGTATAACCGGTTGCACATGACATGCTTGACTGACTAGAATCAAACAAAATAGACAGATAGGCAGTATTCTTCACTCTGTGAAACCAAAGAATTGTAGAGGTGGTGGTGGTGGTGATCGTTTATTGTTATTGTTATTTTATACCTGGCTGCTGTTAGTACGAACAAGGCATCCCGCAACCTAGCGGTGAAAGGTAATGAATTTAACTAAGACTTTAGTAAATTTCTATCACTAATAATTTTGTATTGTCCGTTAAATTAAAAATGATAACAATAATAATAAATCTATGATATTTTTGAATATTTGTTTGGTTTAAATAGAATTATTTTTCCTCATTGAATCCAAAATGTTTTATAAAATAAAAAATGTAAGGGGCCACCGGTTGATTGAAATAATAATATACATAATGGCACATAGTGGTTTTTAATTCAATTTTTCCTAATTAAATAATACTCTTAGAATATTTTTAGTAGATATAGTATTTTATTTTTAATTATTAATTTTTATATTGTTTTAATAAAAGGAAAAATTATAAGGCATAATATTTTCATTGATATTCTATTTATAAAATATCAGGTTCATATTCGAACATGGAAATATATATGTTAAAAAGTTTTACATTTTTATTTTGATACATAATAAAATAACATAAAGCATGAGTAAAATATTATTAATAACATAGTTGTAGCTTGAAATTTTATTTGGGAGGGCTATAGTCCCCTACTCAATTTTTTAAGTCTGGATAATACACTTATCTGGATGTTTCAACATCTTATTGATTTTTATAGTGCGACTTACGAATGTACTATATGTTAAAAACTGCCATTCAACTGCTCTTATAATCAATAGAGTTCTTTAATTGCAATTTTTGAATTGTAATAACTATTATACATCTAATTTTGGTCCTTTCATTTTTTGTTCAAACTTTATTAATTATTATAATTAAAATTGATAAGAAAAAATTGTTTTAGTATATGGACTAATTATTATATAATTAAGCAGTTATCAAATTGTAAAAAAATGTCCTTAAAGTATAATTTTAACTTTGAAATTAGTATATTTAAGTAAAAGTGAGTAATCGTGAAAAATTTTATACGCATTAGTCATAACATACAAGACTCTTTTCGTTAACATTAATCTATAGTACTGAAAATGTTGATTTATTACTTTTTTACATGTGCCTAACTATTTCAGGTGTAACTTATAAAACTCTTAACAACATTGTAAACATGGAAAATGAAAACGTATGATTTCTATTTTGTCTTAAATTTAATATAAGAAATTTATCAATTCATAAATCATACACATAACCGACACCTTAAAGATAAAAACAACGGAAACTGCGCAATTGCAATAAATTCATGTAGTTTCTTACTTATTAAATTGTAAATATTTTACTATTGGAATTTTTTTGAAAGTAGTTATTTAATAACTTAACAATTTTTGAACAAAAAATGTTATTATTTAGTATTTACTAACCTTTGTGAATTGTACTTCATAGATTTCTTAAATATTTTTCTTCTTAAAAAAAAATGTAGTAAATATTTTATCATAAAAATGTTATGTTTTGCAAATAACTATGTATTTAAACTATATAATAAATGTTGGTTATAGGAAACTTAAAAAATGTATAGTTAATATGTATAGTTTTATCACGTAATATCGAACTGCATTGATTAAATAAAGTTGTACATAATGTTAACACAATGACTGTAAATTGTTATCTTAAAAGCATACCACTTTTCTCGTCATGTCCGATAATATATTATTACAATCTAACCTACTCAAACTTAACCACTCGTGCGTCATAAAATTATAATATTAAAATAAAATAATTTATTTCAAGTTTAAATATTCATATGAAATTCTTATAAACACTAATATAATCATAACATTTACTGTAGAAAAACTAATAATATTGCAAGTTGATAATCCCTTATCATCACTTATGGAGTTATATTAGTATTGTTATTTAGCACATGGGTAGGTAGCTTGAATAAATAATGTTAAATGAACGCTTATTAACAAGACAAACTACTACCATTACTATTTAACTATAATTTGATTAAATTATAAAATTTCACAACCAAAACTTAAACAATGGTTTCCTGTCAGTAAATAGTAACGATTAGTGGTTACCCTCGATTTTTGTTACGGACAGGAAATGTGTTCGATATTTTTTAAAACGTGTCTTGAATTGGAACTTCGACATTTGTTTATCTCAGTTTGAATGGTATAATAATACCACACGCCACTGATCATAGTTAAGTAGCAACAACACTAAAACAACCAAGTATTGGCTAAATAATACTACTGCGCATGCGTGCCTTCACACCCATTCACATAATCCAAAACGGTTCAAATTGTTTACATTAAAGAGCACGGATTTGTAAAAACTTGATTTTTCTAAAGAAGGTTTAAGAAAAGAGAAATTGGCAACTAATTTACTGTTTATGACGTTACGCATAATATCACAATTATATCATGAGACCAGAAAAGTATTAGCTTGATAACTGCTTTTGCAAATTAATATGCAAGATCATCAATAACCTTTATTATTAGTAGAAAAGTATCAGAAGAACGTGTTCAATTGAAATATTATGAAATTACATTCTTAGAAATACGAGTAAGATATAAAATATATAGAATATTAAAAACCGCAACAACAGTAGTGGCAGATCCAGGAGGAAAGCGCTGAGGGCACGCTTCCCCTCTTTAAATTATTGTCACCTACTAAAAAGAGGTTTATTAAATGATAAATTTAGCAAAAATTAATTATACGTCTAAAAGTTTTTTGCACATCCCGTTTAAAAATGTATGATCCATTCCTGATTAGTATTATAGCTGCTATTAAAATAGTTTGCAATTTGAAGTCACAATAATTCAAACTAGAAGTTTCAATGTTATATTATTTTATATCTGTTTAAGCATACGCCTAATGAAGATTCAAGAATCCAATTATCTATATTTTCCATCGGAAAATAAATTCACATATATTAAAATTTCAACACATCAAAGGCAGGGGAATGCTTTTGAGTATGACTTAAGGAGCATCGTTGAATTTAGACCAATATGATAACCATTATTCTGCTAAATTTTCATTTTTTATTTTTGCCCTCTTCAAAAATGACTACACAAGTTGCCATATTACGGAAAGGATCCAAATCCCAAATAATCAAGGATTTAAACCAACTTTTTCAAAAAGTGCTCTCTCTCGTAGACTACTCCTTTTTCTGCGAATCTTTTTCATTTAGAATTAATTTGTAATTATTTAAATAAACAAATAAAGTCAACACAGAAAAAACAAATCCCAATATTAGTAACATAACGTGCGATGTAATCAATGTAAATTTCTATTGCCTTAAGCTAATTTATAAATTACAAGAGTTGTAAATAATTTACAACTAATAAAACTAATAACAAAATAAAATATAACAGCCTTTATTATTTAGGTTATTATATTGTTATTAGTTGTTTTATCGTAGGTTATAATTAAATAATCCAAGCTGTTTAGAGTCGGCTCTACCTTACAATGATTTAACAAGATTTTTTACAATGACCGTCGCCTGACGAAATCTAATTATGACTGAAGGAACCAATAGGAACAAGGTGTGTTTTACTAAAGTTTTCGTATGATCACCCATCCAAAAACCAACAGCAAATTACGCAGCTGAACATCAGTACTAAAGTAAAGACTGAGTGATACACTGCGCCACACCAAGTATTCAGAAATGACTATACCTATTATAAAATGTAAACCCGAATATTTACAACGTGCCCCAGATTATAGACACCCACCAAGATTTTCTGGATAGCTCACCTAGCCTATACGGGCCAGATTTGAAGTGATCTTAAAGTAAACTAGTAATATAATGGTGTCTGAAGTGTTTTGTACAAGCTGTAGCTTGTTAATATCATGACACTATAGTGTCTTGATATGTATTATTACACTTGTGATCACGTTTTATTGTTTCAATAATATTACTATAACATCAGTAATTTTATTAGCTTAAATAAAAAATGTTGAAGCATATTATTTATTATTAAAACTTTGGACTAGAATTATTATTTCTATAAAATTGTATATTTAATTATACAGTGTGGAAAACTAACTGACAACTCTTTTAACTTTTTATATTATCAACATTTCGCTGATATTTTTTTTATTAATTAAGCATTTATAAACTATGTTAATAGTAGATATAGGCCAAATATTCCGAGATTATTTGGTATCTAGTACGCATAGTGTTCCAATTTCTGAAAAACGTGGTTTAAATTCAACTTTTTCTTTTTTTCTAATTTAATTAGATATAATTCATTTTAAAAAAAGTTTAAATTTTTTACTTCTTTATTATAAAATATCATATTTTTTTTATAATTCAATGACCTATAAAATAAGTTTTAGCTGAAAAAATAAAGATATTGTGTATACCAGTGAAAAGGTTTAAGACCTAAAATTTAATGTTATAGCAGAAATATATTTTTCTTTTATATACTCTTAATTGTTGTCGTAAAAACGTGTTTTTTTTAAGTAAAAATTTGGTTCTTTAAGAATCTTGCTCCGTTCAACTCCGCAGCAGAAATAGTGACAGGTTAGAGAAAAAAAAATGTATATAATGTTTACAAACGCTATTTAGCTGCTCATATTTGCATAAAAATCATAAAGGCGTTATTAACATATAAATGAAAAAATCAGATCATTTGATTTTTAGTTACTTATTATTTAAGACCAGATTAGGATTAAGTTCTATTTAATTTATAACATATTTTACACAAATATTTTATCTCTCACCAATTACTAATATTTTACATAAATCATCACTATATTTAATTATTTTCATATCTTGGTATTACTCCATAATAAGGATTGTATAACCTGGTCTGAGCTCAATAACATTAATTTAATTAGACAACTTTATAAGTTATTAAATTAAATTAGACTTAACCAAATAATAATTTAAAACAGTTTAAAACTACTTATCTTTTTTGGAAAGTGTAAGAAAAACCAAA